GAATAGTGCTACGTTAGCCAGAGCAAGTGCATGGCCCACCATAAAACGCACGGCACGATGTATTTCATTGCTGGATTCAATTGCCTTCAAAAAAATTGTTTATTACACAATTGTACATGGTACAAGATAGTTGTTTGTTCTTACACTTACATATTCAATATCGATATCTGGATTCTCCTTGTACGTGTTGAAGCCAGCCACAAGGTCTTTTGCTATTTCCAACAGTACCATAAAACCATACCCCGACATCGCCTGTTCTGATGTTTTATCATGACCAAGGACTGACATATTACCAGCAGCAATCTCTAGTCTATCCATACACCATAATATTCGATCTACAAAGTGTCTCCGGGAGGACTGTATGGAATAAAATTATTGATATTTTCGCATGATTTAAAGTTTCGAATTTATTTCATTCTTACCGTAATTGCTCTTCCAGCTGTTTCTTCGGCGCGTATTACACGTTCCAAATACTTTGTACACAAGCACACTTGTGCCAAACATAGAAAAACAGTATCCAGATTTTCATTATCATCGAGTTCTTCCTCAACTTCGCTGGCTATAAACTTGTGCAGACCAGAAGCAAACTCATAAAAATCGCCACAGAAATTCTAAAAACCATCAATTATACATAAATTAACAATTATACATAAAATAACCGAATCAAAACAATAGCAAGATCGTCTTACATTTAACCAATCTATGCCGCATTCCGCTCCACAATATCCTTTGGATATTACTTTTCGGCTCCTCGAAAGTTGGTTTTTCAGCACTTGTAGTCCAACAGCTGCCATATTATTCATTATTTGAAAAATAAAATTTTCCCAGCGTGCACACTTTTCCACAAAGCGCCGTTTAATTTTTTTAAATTGAGCTCGTCTGCTTCTTCCTTTTATGACGATTCACAATCTAGGGTTTTTGACGTTAATTAATTCGCCGTAATATTTTGACAACCAACTTTTCGCTTGTTTTCGCCGCCATTCGACGTTTTTCATTCGGTCATGTCAGTGGTGAATCTTTTTTATTTTTTGATTGGCACCAGAGTAATTTCAGCAGCAGCTTCTTCAAAATTTACTCAAAATTGCCATTTTGTTGAATATTTTCCAATTGCTTAACAAATGCAACAAGCTTGGTAGTGCAAATTAAAGTATAAAGTTTAGTATAAGCGAAAATATCGAAAATTTTTGCAACCGTATACAAACAGCAGCAAGATCTTTTCAAGTGTGTGTATAGTAGAGAAGAGGAAAAATGAGTTCAACTGCGAGCCGCAAAGAAAATGAAAGGACCAAATTAATACAGGAAAAATGCCAAACTCTGCTGACTCAGATGCTTCGCGATGAGGACAATAAATACTGCGTTGATTGTGATGCAAAAGGTAACGAAGAAATTGGAATAAGGCTAAGGTTAAAAAAGACAACTAACACGCAAGCCACCAAACCACCAGTTTCGTGAGCTCCCTTAGGGAATTTGCCTTAAACGCAAGCGGGGGTAAAGCATGTTCCACCTGGACACAAAATGATAGGGAATTCATTATACCTTCAAATCTAAAAAGTGCCTTTTAAATATATTCAACGTAATGGCATTCGAATAGGGTTCTTCTCATTGTCTAGTAAGTACTAACAGCATTGCTTATAAAACATAGGCTACAATATGTTGCCATTAAAGGCAACCAACACTAAAATGTATTGTCTAAAGAAATCGAAAATTATTGGACACCTCTGTACGTGACCACCAAATTTAGATAGAATTAGCGTTGTGATTGAATAATTCAGCGCTGGTATGAATGCTCATTGCATAAACGCAGTGTTTAAGCCCCTTACGCCACTTTTGGCATATCATTTGCGACTGTCATTTATATTTACTGCACTGCTGGATGAGTGCTTGTAAGATATGTACAACCTATCCACGGGCTTCGTTCATATTTGATTTATTTTTTCCGTTCATTTGTTATCATAGTATAGTGATAGTAAAAGTAAGCGCTGCACAGTTTCTGTTTGGCTTCATAACCTTTCTATGACTATTTAATTACTTAGTTTCAATGGGAAAATTTGTTAAAAATCAATATACGGCAAACAATGTTTATCGGCAACCAACGGAAAGATTTTCTTTGAAAACCTTTCTTCCCACTTATCTATTTGAATTTAGAATCCGTGTAATTTTTCTATAAAAAATCATTATTTTACTTTAAGCGCTTGTTTTTATTTGTAAATCTTATCATGAGTCACTGACAAATACCAGTTTAAAATATGTAAGTGAAGATCACAAGTTAGCACGACGAGAGGCAGAAAATATAAACTTGGTTTAGCATCGACGACTCTGATAAAAGTGCTTCGCTGACAACGCATGCAACTGTTGTTGCTAAGAGCTGTGTTATACTGATAAGCAGCTTGTGTTTATTTTTTATCGTACAAAGGAAACAACAAAACGTGGATATATTGAATATATGAAGTAAGTTATCTTCGCCGGTTAATGCTTCTTTTATATTACAGGACCGCGTTGGGCGTCTTGGAATCTTGGCGTTTTCTTGTGCATACGTTGCGCAGGCATTCATCGTAATCTTGGCGTACACATATCGCGAGTTAAATCGGTCAATTTAGACACCTGGACGCCAGAACAGGTGATCTCATTGCAACAGATGGGCAATTCTCGTGCGCGTGCCGTTTATGAAGCACAGTTACCAGATGGTTTCCGCCGTCCCCAGACCGATACCGCATTAGAGTCATTCATACGTGCTAAATATGAGCACAAAAGGTATTTGGCGCGAGAATGGGTGCCGCCGTCACCACCAAAAGTAGATTGGGCCAAAGAAATTGACGAAGAGTTAGAGCGGCAAAAACGCAAGAAAAAAGCAGCCCAAGCGTGCACTTCAATGGGGCTTAGTGTGATGAGTGGCGTGGGCACCGGGGGTGACAAAAAAAGCACCACATCATCGTCAGGTTCGAAATCAGCGGCACTGCCAGCGCCGTTGCCGAAACCCAAGGCAGGACAAGTTGGCAGTAGTTGTAGCCCTAAAACACAGCGTATTTCTACGAATTCGACAGGCGGCGAAGGCAATCACAGCAGCGATTTGCTCGGTCTCTCTTCACCTACAAAGCCATTGCAGCATAATGTGGGTGGTGGCGCAGCCCAGGATTTGCAAAATGACAGCTTCACTGGTTTTCTTAGTGCGACTCCTTCAGTTGTTATGCAACCTGGGGAACACAATAAAGCTGGGGAATCTAATGGACAAAATACCACGCAAAACTCACTGGCTAAAGACGAAGAAGATTTCTTTAATCAAGGTTCGCTAACTGGCTCTGAAAAAGATAAGTCAGGGAAGCTGACAAAGGATAGTATATTGGCATTGTACGGTACCGCACCAAGCAGCACAGGAAATTCACACAATCCACATGGTGGCCAAATGCCTTTTGGCCAACCACAGTCAATGTTTGTTGCCACTGGCGCTTACTCAGGCGGCATGGTTCCCGGTTATATGGGCGCAGGTGGCGTACCACATCCCCAGCAACCTCAATTCATGACACCGCCGAATTCCACAAGCATGTATAATGCACCCGTCATGACCGCGCCCACTGCGTTCACCACACCAGGCATGCATATGGTTGGTGCGGGCGCTACAGGCGGTTTTAATGCCCAATTCCCTGGCACGGCCAGTACCGGCATCTACACACAACAACACCTGGCGGGTCTTGGGAATATGATGGTTAACAGCGGACAACTAGCGGGCCAAATTAATCTTATGCAAACCAATCAGAATCTGTTAAGTGGCATGCCTATGATGGGCGTAGGTGCCACGTCGGCAGCCATGGTGCAGCAGCCGCCGATGGGAATGAGCATACCCATGGCGAGTGTGCCAATGTCAGCAACATTTCAAGCGGCACCTGCAGCTGCAGCAGGCGCCTCTACTAATACACATGGTCTGAACCAACAATTCAGCAACTTAAATATCGGTAATGTGTGGCAATGAGGGGAAGACAAATTGCGGGTTGGTGAATAATAGCGCCTGCATCACATGCCGTCAAAATCCAACTTGCCTTGTTTAATTCGTCGCTGTCGCAGGCCACGTCAATGGTACGTTGAACATTTAAATAAAAATGGAGCTTAATAGTTTGAAGATGATTATAACTGAAATTAATTATTGTTCCTTTAAGCTTCTTAAAAGAAAACTAATCAATGTAATTATTAAAAAAATTAAGATTTCCCCACAAGATCCGGTGCTTAATTCCTCCTTTGAGCTTTAAACAATGCACCGTAGTTCATTCCTTACTGACACGCAATAATATCACAAGCCAAACGAAAACATTTATACTAAATATTTTGAAAATGATAAGGAAAAAAAGCGATGCAAATCGATTCATTCATTACTGTTGCGGTTAAGTTGGATAAGGTCTCTTGCTGTTCGGCAAGATCTAGAAAAGGGTTATTGCAATTAATTTATAGCGGTTCAGGCTTCTTAATTTATTTACATGTAATTAAGCGATTTTGTGTTTCACCTACATACATGTAGCAATTCAGTGTATAGCAGTATAAAGCGGTTTGTTGAAATCAATTCCAAAAATTAGCAGCTTTAATATCAGGGTACATATGTACGTATGTACTATGTAGTAAGATATTTTCTTTTCCCGGCAATAATTGTTAATGAATAACGAAATCTAAGTCTTTGAACACAAAGGTCCTTCCGGCCAACAAGTTTATTACTGTTTATAATCCACAAAAAGGTGTATTACTTATACATATACTTATACATATGAAAAATTAGAAAAAAAGAAACAGACAGATGTTGTAGAAAGAAAATGCGTACATACATATGTAAATTGGAGCTAGGAATCAGTATGAATGGAAAGGAAAACATCCCTCCAAAGTAAGATTAAAGTTTGAGCGTGTGAGCCAAATCTTAGTTGACCTTTATAATTTAATGTTTCATATTTCTTTGAATACACAACCATAATTGTAAGTTTATTACGAAGTTTAATTGAAACTATCAATATCAATAAATACATATATAAATCTAAAAAATAAACACTGGTTTTATTGACGAAATTTACTTGTATAATAATAATAATATTTTGGTGCTGCGTCGTGATCTTGTGACACAAATGGAGGGACCTACAGTCTTACGACGCCTCCGAACAGCAAATAGACTTTATGAGATGCCTTTTTTAAGGCAGAAATCCATTCGGAGGTGTTAAAAAATGCATAAGTGCAGAATACGACCCGTTAAGCTAAAAAAAACTAAGAAGTGGGTGTGGTTCGTGCTTTTTTCTGATATTTGCGAGGCTAGGGAGGGGTGTATTACAACTTTTTTATCAACTTACAATTGTTTATAGTATCATAAGTTAAACTGTTGCCAGTCAGATGTACATATTTTGCGCCATAAATGAAATAATGACATCTTATTTGTGAAAATTCTAATTGTTCTTGGTTAATGATAGACTCTCCCAGGTAGAGAATGTTTTTCCCAGCATTGACGTCGTGATTCCAGCAAGTACGGCAGTTTGGACAAAACTGGTACCTGTGTGGCGATTTGGACGTCAGGCTTACGTTGTAACATTTTGCGCAAAGTTTGGTTGTTCTGAATTCGTTAACCATTAGAATGTCTGCTGTTCGTTGTCTTAAAGCTGCGATTAGTAGGCGATTAGGTACTCGCCTATATACGCGCATTGGTGAGTTTGGTGCAGATTAAAGTTTTCTCTTCTTTGTTTGGTACCAGTTGTTGCGCAACTTGGTTGCAGGCTTTTTGTCGGCAAATGTATTTCTTCAGCTTCAGCCGAGCCACCTTTCTTTGCGAGGCTATTTTTTGTTTTTGCTCCAGTATTTCAAGTTCAAATTTACAATATTCTTTAAAATTTGACGAATTCGCAGACAATTCTGAATTTGTGGTGAAATCTTTCGTATATTTATTTAGTTTTATTTTGCGAGAATAGAAACCAGAAAGGTGTTGATAGTACGAATTTTTAATTTTCACAGGAACATTGTTCTGGATGCCAGCTAAAATTAGCCGACACCCAGGATCTAGGCCAATTTTATTTTCATATTTTGTTGCACGTATTTTTATTAACAGCCGTATTCTAACAAAGTCACAAACTTTAGCTCATTACTGCTGTGATTTCTACCGCGCCTCAAAGCTTGCCGCTCAAAAAATATGACGCTTCAATTCAATTTTTTAAATTTTTGTGTATTTTTCTAGCACTCAAAATCGAATTTTTTGTGACACATTTCTCGGCGCACTGGAAATCACAACAGTGATGAGCTAAGTTTTGTGACTCTGTTAGAATAGTGGGGTATATCTCCTGTACGATCCGTTTCTTTTTCTTTAAGTTTTCTCTTTTTCACTAGCTTAGTTTCGTTTTGTATTTTTATTTGCTTTTCCATACAAAATGAAATGGAGATGCCATCAGTTTGTAAGGATGAAAACGTTTTAGTGCACGTTGAAGGAATTTTAAAATACTTTCCAAATTCACTTTTATCGAAGGAAGAAAATGGTCCTTTGAATAATTTTAATCGACACAATAGTTGATGGAACGCAAATCGATCGTATCTGACGTGATGTAAACCGTGTTTTAGTTGTGGTATCAATGAAAAATTTTGTATTTCTTTGATTTCATTATACCGTTGCAGGTTATAAAATAATTCTATGGACGACCAAAATAGTTTGACATTCTCTATTTCGTGTAGCTTTTTCCCGTTCCATTTTAAATCGGTACGCATACGTTCAAGTACCGCTTCATCTGGGCTATTTTTGGAATTTTTATCGAATAGGTAGCTCAGTGTATTATATACCTTTTTTTGTCTTCTTCAAATTTGAAATATTTTCTGAGCCGAGTACAACCGTGCATCCAAATATTGTTGTGGAATATTGTTAGAAATTTATTCGCGTTTTCCACAAATAAATTCGGCCGATACGAACTATCGTACAATTTGAGGTTTTTGCGCAGCATATTATACTCCTGGTCTATTGTATATTTTGGTTTTTTCTTTACCATTAGATGGTAATAACAGTCCAGAAAATTTATGGGTTCAAAGTTTTGTTGTTCCCAACGTTTCATCAAGGTAAAGTGAATGTATCTTGATAGCTCGATGAATAGAGACGACATCTCCTCCACATCCTTTTGTATTTGATCATATACATGGAAATTTTTACATGATAATCGTAGAGCTTTTTTTACTACGGTACAGGTTGTTTTATTACTTTCTTTTTCGTCAAGTGGCCTTTTCCGACTCATGGCCACAATTTCTCAATTTCTGTTGCTTTACTTTATCGTGGTTTTCACGAACGCTGTTTCGAACCAAGAATAAACAATTTTAAGTTAATTTATTAGCAATGACGGTCGCATGACGGGACAATTTTCTCAAAATCGGCACTGTCCCGCCAAAATCGGTACGAATGGCCACTGTACACATAACGCCAAAGTACAATAGGGGTATTCTCCAAATCTTGCAAAGCCATTGCACGTAGCACGGATTGCATGGATTGCATAACTTGCATACACACAACAATAAAATACATGGGAAACAACATTTCCTATCGCTGCAAAATATGCAACGTCGAAACCCATGTATATATTTTGCAAAATAGCATAGCAAGATAAATACGACCCTGTGCTAGTTGTTTTGTTGTTGGAATTGCTACATATTTCTCTCATTGCTCTCATCTCGCTCACTTAATTTTTTTTTTGTTGTCTCTTGTTATTGTATTTGATACATATCTTCGCTGCTTGCAACCCAAGTATGCTGCCACCTTTCAATGGGGTGCTCTCGTACTCTTCGAAATTTGGAATAGTATTTTTGCATTTCGTGCAATCCGTGCAACGTGCAAGACTTCGAGAATACCCCTAATATGTTTTAGTGCTGTTGCAAAAATTGTAAACGAAGTTTTCTAATTACTTGACTTAGGGCCATTTTCTCAAATAGGTTTTACATCTGCACTTCAAACACAAATTTTGTTCTGAGAAAAAGATCTTTCAGTTTTGCTTTATTTTTTTACCTCATTTTGGTCCAGTATATATATACATACATAGCAGAGCTGTAAAACTGTGAAATCATTTGAAATTAAAAATCATCAATTTTATATTATTATGTTTTCATTGAATTCTCCCTTATTGAATAATGCGGCTTATTGTTTTCCAATTCTACATTCACTCAAAGTAGATACGATTGCACACATTTCCATATTCAAAGAAAGATTGAAAAAATTGAATGACGAACGATTCACTTTTAACACTTAATAAGCACTCAGATGAATGCAGCTTTTGCTATGTGTGCACACATCCACTCAGTACCAATCAGTTGATATAAATATTTTGAACACACAAAACCCACTGAAAAATACGCCAGGTTGCATTTTATTAAAAAGACTGCAAAATTTCAACACGAAAAATAGTTAATAGAGCGTTATTATCAGTTTTTTTCACTTAAATTTGTACAAGGATTTATAAGAATAAAAAATATTAATTGGAGAAATATTTTTTAGTGAACGTGTCGTTAGAATGTCATTATGAAAAATATAAATTATTAATGATTTTAACATCTCTGTTTAGAAAATTGTCAGCTTTCCAAATAAGTGTTACCAATATACCATTAATAATGCATAATGCATAAATTAGTACATACATATATAAGTTAATATAAACTAACAAATTTAAGAGCTTCTGGTTCTAACTTTAGACATACATATACATTTCATTATTTAATTATAAAAATTTTTGATACAAATTTCTTCGTACTTTTTTTCGTCGCTATTGGGCCAAGCAGTTAATGAAGATTCGAAAATCGAATTTGTTGGTTTGTGGAGGTTTTTTCATTTACAATAAGCCACAAATTATCAACATTTCCAACAAAAAAATATTTAACAAAATTCGTTGGTCTCTATTTTCATTAACATCCTTTTCCGAAAGTGCAATATTTAAGAATTTATACCCATTTCATTGAGCACGCTTTTTAACCTAAGTTTTGGTTTGTTTGTTAACATCAAAACTACAAATTGCAAATCCTAATAAATAAATTATTTCTAAAATAGGTTACAGCAGACAATATTTAATCATTTTTTATTAATGTACCGACACCTGATTGGAAGATCGACCTATCTCGGCAGCCAGTTCGAAAACTCCCTATCTCAAAAAACTGTTCTAGAACACCCTATTCCAGAATTTTGTTGAAGAACGCCCTATCTCAGAATGCGGTTCAAAAATGCCCTATCTCGGCATATTTTCAATATATTTTCATTTGAGATAGGGCGTTCTTCAACCAAATTCTGAAGTAAGACTTTCATAAAAAGTTTTCTGAGTTAGGGCGTTTTTGAATTGGCTGCCGAGATAGGTCGATCTTCCAATCAGGTGTCGGTATATTAATAAAAAATGATTAAATATTGTCTGCTGTAACCTATTTTAGAAATAATTTATTTATTAGGATTTGCAATTTGAAAAAATCAGTTCCTTCCAATTTTGGGAATCAAACGGGACCACACACAAGCAAAAATCGTTTTCTACAATCTTTATTAACCTGAAGGGCTATACAACAAACAACCGCTATACGAACAAAGTTATAATACCCATGTGCACAAATGCGCTCGGGTGTAATTATTTCTTAAAAAGTTATTCTAAATGTATGTTTTGAGCAAATTGATTTCAAAAGTTAGAAATATGTCCCATTTTTCACTAATGTATAATAATAAACATGTGAGTTTTTTAGCAATTTGTTTTCTGCAATTAAGAAAATATTGAATTTTTTGAATTTTTCGAAATGACCGTTTTATGGGAGGGACCAGGTTATTGTTTAATTTTTGTATTTTCAAAACGCTTCTGCCCTGCATAAAGGGAAACCCGCGTACCGAATTTTCTTCCGATATCTCAACTTTTCCTAGAGTTATCGTGTACACAAACAAACGGACAGAGAGACAGACGGAGATGGACTAATCAACTTCTCTTTTTATTCTGGGCATTTACGGTATATACATACATACGTACATAAATGTAGTATATATCTATCTCAATTTTGGTTGTTCCAAATATCCGTTACGTGAGAAAAGTTATAGTACCCTACTGCAGAAGTGCGTAGTAAATATGTTTAAATAGTACACCTTTTAATTAATAATTAATAAAAAAAATTTTACAATGTAACTCCTCAACCCCTCTTTAAAGAAAACAAGAACCCTTATAAAATTTCGTTTTGAAAGTTTTCAAATTTGAGAACTGAAGAAAAAAATTAATCGAAAAAAAATCATATAAATTAAATTTATATATACATATATTCTGCGAAAAAATGTCTACAATCAATTTTTAAACTCTTTTCGCAATTGGTGTACTCTTGTAACCGGTAAATTTTGTTACCATCTCATAAGCTGGTAACAAAATATTGCCCCGCCCCGTGAAATATGCAATGCCAGAATTTCCACAAGTCTTCATGGCTGAATTGCTGAATATATAGCTTTACCAACGTTCCTAGAATCGCGGTGACATGAACAGGTAACATTTTTTGGTAATAAAATTTTCCGGTTACAAAATCTTCGGTTACGTGCAGAATAGACCTTTTATAGTTCTAAAAGTCTATAATACGAAGGGGCAGATGCCGGTAATGAAATTCTTAAGTTTTTTCAAGCAAGAGTTTTAAAAATTCAATTCTATTGACACTGTTTTATATTTCTATATACAGTTCACTAGTTTCGAATCTAATATATGTAAATGTATGTATCAAGATGTGTCTTTTGTGCTCGACGGTTGCGATGTTTGTTTGGACTGATTTCGCACCAGTCATTAGCCATGGGTTAATGTCAGAAAACGTCTATACATACGCGTTGAAATACATACATACGTATACATATATGTTTTTTTTTTTCAATTCCAGATATGTTTAAATTTTAAAGTATAAAATATATCAACCCTGGGAAAAAAGTATTAGTACTGAATGGTAAAAACGTGTGCATTCATTTTAAATATACAATCATGTGTGTGTGGGAATGCTTCTGTTACATTCACATTCCATACTGAATGTCAATCTACCATTCAAAAACACAACACAGTTTATTTGTTTCCAAGCATTTCAAGCCACTCAGGAATGAGGCTTTTTTTATACAAACAAACAATCAAAATTTTGAAAAGAATGTCGAGTGAATGCAGATCCTATTGATTCAATCATTTTACAGCTCTGATACATAGTAATTTATAATAATAATAATAATAATAATAATAATAATAACAGCATAAAATAGCAGGTTTGGTGGCTGGCGAGGCCTAGTCTTCAGTCTACTTTTGTGTGCGGCGGGCGGAAAGACCTAGTTTCCGCTCCGCGCTGCGGACAGGCTGTTGATCAAGGTCGGTAAGGCCGAGTTTCCGAACCATGTTCCCGAAGACATTACTTTGTATGTGTGGCAGGCGGAAAGCTAGGGTTTCCGCTCCGCGCTATGAACAAGCTGTTGAACATGGTTGGAAAGAACGAGTTTCCGATCCATGTTCCCGAAATCATTACTTTGAATGTGTGGCAGGCGGAAAGCTCTAGTTTCCGCTCCGTGCTGTGGACAAGCTGTTGATCATGGTCGGTGGCAATTCTCAAAAATATTTCCACCAGTTACCTTTCTCAAACCTCTTTAATTTAATATCTTTGTTGCAATTAAGAATAAAAAATTATAGTTTAATTTATTAGATTAAAAAGTGACTGGTTGGCAGTACATACATAAATTTCAGATGGGTTCTACTATACTAACTACTATGCTTACCTAAATCCTTAAATTCTAAATTCGCAGCGGAAAGGCTTATTCTGCTTCGCTGTTGTCACGCGAGTTAATCTGCAGGGAATTAAGAATAAAAAAAATTGTTAATATATTACCAATGAGTTAAGTAAATTTTTCTTACCTA